GTGAGCGGGGGAGCCCAGGCGCGGAGCTTATCGCGCACCATCCGGTACGGGCGTCCCCACGGATCTCTGTCCAGAGTCCCCAGCATCTCTCGGCGGGCCTCCTCCTTGGCCCGCAATATCTCCGCCTTGAGGAGGGCCTTCGCCGCCCTGTATCCCTCGTATAACTCCGCCTCTCTCGCCTCCGCATTAGGAGGACGGATACGGCGCCTGCGGTGCCTAGTGTACTGGCGTCGCGCAGTAGTGCACGCCTTGCGCAGAGCCGCCAGCTCTTGCGACCACCAGTACACCTGGCGCTTCTGTTGCCTCGATCGGATCCGGGGCATCGCCACGTCACAAATCCTGGACATGGCGTCCTGGAGCCACTTAGCCTCATCGTCGATGTCGGCAGGCCTGACCGGTGGTATCACCCAGGCCTGCACGATGGCGGCTTCCAGGAGCAGCTCCCGGTCCAGCTGTTTCAGCGCCCAACGCGGACCACATGGGGCCTGTCTGACCGGCGGGTCTGCGGACTCGGCGGAGACGTCGAACCGGATATACCGGTGGTCGGAGTACGTCTCCACCTCCTCCATGACACGCCAGTCAACGATACGCGGTGACAGAGCAGGGCTGGCGAACGAAATGTCCACCACCGACTCGCCCTGCATCCGCACGCACGTGGGGACAGAACCCCGGTTCAGGACGACTAGGCCTGTCTCAAGGGCCCAGTCTTCCACCATCCTACCCCGGACGTCGGTGAACCGGGAACCCCAAGCCAAGTTTTTGGCATTGAAGTCCCCGAGGACGAGCACGGGGAGGGAACGGAACCCGACGACGACGGTGACCAACTCCCTCAAGGAGTTGTGGAACTCGGCGAGAGTTCGGTTCGGAGAGAAGTACACGCCCACCACAGCGAGCTCTCCGAACCGTGCTGCGACACAACCCCGGCCTCTTTGAGCAGCCTCAAGAGTCGGGGTACCGGCGGCGGCCGACGAGATGATGGTCACCGAGCCGTCCAGGTCCGCCACCCAGTGATCCCTGGGCGGGACAAAGTACGGCTCGGAGACCACGGCGACGTTGATTGACCACTGCGCCATGCTCTGGAGCAGGAGATCCTGAGCAGCGGCGCAGTGGTTGATGTTCGCCTGGAGGAGGCGGAATGGAGCCATTATTGGCAGTCCATTCCGACCTCCTCAGTGGCGGCAGCGGCGACTGCGGTGGCAGTGGCGGCGGCGGCGGAGACGACGGGGGCGGCGGAGGGCCTACTTTTGCCCTTGGGTTTGGCGGGAGGGGAGCAGCCCTTGCTCCCGACCCGGTGATTGGCCGGCTTGCCAGCCGCCGCACATGCGTTGCAGTGCAGCGGGGCGTTGCACGAGCCGGCCTTGTGACCGGGCCGACCGCAGCGGAAGCAACAGTCGCTGCGGTCCACCTCCGAGGTGCATTTGACGCTCACGTGCTCCCCCACGTGACAGCGGTAGCACCTCAGAGGCCGGGTCTCGAGCAGCTTGACCTGCGCCGAGACCCATCCCACCAAGAGCCTTTTGCCCTCCTTCAGCTTCTTGGCCGCTGTGACGGGGCAGCTGACCACAACAGTGCGCAGCCCCGAGTTGTCCGGGCGGATGGCGCCTGCCTTGATTTGGTCAGCAGGGCACCCTCCCGTCCTGGCCACAGCGGCCACCACCTCCCTCTCCGTTACGGAGTCGTCCAGGCCCAAAATCCTGACATCCAGGCATTTGGTGGGCCTGGACACGCGGGCCTCGTCCGCACCGAGGCACGCCCTAAGCCTCTCGGCCAGGGCGTCGGCCGATGGGCCGCTGGTCGCGCCGGGGACCTCCAAAAGACGGGCTCCGGTAGCGGTCACCTTGACCGCGAACCCGTCTGGCGCCCCGAACTCCGCAGGAGATACCGCCCCCTTCAATTTGGCGAGGACGTCGCCGTAAGTGACGCCCCTATTGACCGCCTCGGGCTGCAGCGTAATCACTACAGCCGCGGTCTTAGGGGCGAGGAGCAAGGCAGCAGCGCGTTTCTCCCTGCGCTGCTGCTGCCGTCGCTGCCGCTGCGCCTTCTTGCGGCGCTTCCGGCCCTCCCTGGCGACTCTCCTCGCCTCGCCGGCGATTTGCCACCCGCCGCCGTCCTCCGCTCGCGGGGCGGGTTCCACCACCGCTGCCGCAACTCCAGCCTGCCGGGCTGGAGTGCCTCTCCTCTTTTTGCGCCCTGCGGGCGCTGGCGCCGTCGGCGCAGCTGGGGTCTGCGCCGGCGGGGGCGCCGAGGCCCTCGCTGGGGCAGCCGGTCGCGCCTTTGCCGGCGGTTGGGAGCTGCGGCTAGCCTGACCCGAGGTCGAAGGCTTGGCCGCAGCGGCCGCGTACGACCGCGGGACTGCGGGGGCGACCTGACTCGCCGCAAGTGGGGGGCGCAAGAGCCTGCCCTCCAGCACGTCGAAACGTCGCTGGAAGGCAGCCATCTCCGCCCGCAGCAGTCCGACCACGTCGGCCTCCGCCGGGGGCTGAGGGCGACTGCCGCGAGCAGCGGCGAGCTCGGCCCTGGCCGTCCGCAGCTCGGCCTCCAGAGCCGCGTTAGAGGCCGCCAAACGCGCCAGCTCTCGCCGCATCTCGGCCAGCTCAGAGCGCACGTTTCCCGCAGTGGGCACCGCACGCTGCTCCAAGGCCGCCTCCGTAATAGTGGCCGCCGCCGCCTTGAGGAGGCGGAGCCTAACCGGCTGGGATTTCCCCATCGCCAGCTTGTAGAGCTCCGCCGTAATGGCCTGTTCGAGGCCCCCGGAGCAGCTCTCGCTCTCAGAGCCGCGCTCGCCCTCCGACATCTCCACGCCGGACATCTCGGCCGCAGAGGACTCCGAACGGGCAGTGCTCGAAAGAGCCCTGCCCTCCGCAGCCAGTTGCTCGGCTGACTCCGCGCAGGCAGCTGGTGCCGGTTTCCGGCGACCGCTGCCCTTGCCGCCCCTACCCCGCGCTGCCGTGGGGACCTTGGGGGGAGGCGCCTCCCGAGCGCCGGAGGACGGGGACAAACTGTCCTCCTCCAGCCGGGGGCGTTTGAACGTCCCCGTCGCGCGGCGGCGTGAGCCTTTCGAGCTCACGCTCAGCCGCTCCGCCAATGTTGTGTCGGACTCTGAGTCCGACCCCCTTCGACTGGACTCCCGTGTGTGGGGCCTGCTGGACGAGTCCAGCGCCTCACCACGAGTCCCGGAGCCACTTGGGCTCCCTTCTCCCGCTACCGCAGGCGAGCCAAGCTCACCCGCACTCTCCTCCTCCGGTTGTGGTTTTGATTTTGATTTTAAGTTCTCCATACAATTCCCACGAGTATGGGGGAAATATTCGGTCCACCCAGGCAGTGCCCCCTGTACCTGGGTAAGTGTTAATTTGTTTCCCAACTAGAGGTTCCACTGGTCCCCTAGCTGGGGGTGCGCTCGCGACTGACACTACTCCTCAGCCATGCATACTCTCGCCGCGCACCAGAACTTAGTATTGGAGGAATTTTTTATAGAGGTTATCTTCCTCGCGGTCCGGGCGACCAAGCCAAGACCCTCGTCCCGTTCAGAGTCACAAAACATGACCGTGACCTCCTTACGGATTACGATATCGACGGCTGCAATCGGGGACAGCTTGTGTCCCGATGCTGCTCGCTGGCAGGGTGAGTGCACAACGAGCACCGCCCTTGCCTCTCCGCCACGCTCTCTGCTAATCAGAGAGACAGGCGGAGAAACGCCCCACGGAAGCGCGGGCCATGAGCACACAGCCCGCCGCCTCCAGAACCCTATCGGGTTCGCCCGCCCAGTCCAGAAGTCTGCTGCGGGCGACAGTCACTCCAACCCTATCACCCCCGCTAGGGAGACTGTCGCCCGAACCCAGGGTGCACCACGGGGAGGTCTTCTGGCACCGCACCCCATTCTCGAGTCTAGCAAACAAAAATTGATATTTTTCTGTATGCTCAGCATCAGTAATAGCACAGTATAACCCTATCTACAGGGTGTAAACGGAACGCTTGTTTCAGTAAAAACAAACCATTTGTAATCTTTTTGTTTTCTTATTATTCATGCAACATCAGCGTAGAGCAGTTGATTACAACTATTATCTATATATATCTATATAAAAGAAAGTCGTGTTAGTTACACTATTTATAACTCAAAAATGGCTAAATCTATTTGGATGAAAATTGGTGGGGACGTAGCTTAGCACCAGGAGACGGACATAGGATACTTTTTACCCAATACTTATTTTTTACTTTTAACCGAAAATCAAGAACGGGTACGGGAAATATCAGGATGGCGCGTACGAAGTCGCGGGCAGAAGCTAGTTATACATAAAATAAACATTTAAAACCTTACTTTTTTTTTAATTGAAACTAATTTCTTTCCATAACCTGTCTGCGTTTTCGGTGTAATGGTAATTGCCAAACCTCTTTTTTATAGGACTCATATGAAAAAGAGGAAGCCAAAATCTACTGAAAATTATTTTGTTGTACAAAATAACTTTTATCAGAGTGCCTGCACATTTATTTTAATTAAAATTAAGTACTTTATAACAAAAGTCTTATGGTTTCTAAAACAAAAAGCCAACGTCACGCGGTATTCCCAGGCGGTCACCCATCCAAGTACTAACCGCGCCCGATGTTGCTTAACTTCGGTGATCGGACAAGAACCGGTGTTTTCAACATGGTATGGATGTTGATAACAGGAACGCCAAATTTAGTGTATGGTTACAGCATTTGCTGGCATTATTCCAAATAATGAGTTCATTGAAATAGACCTGAATGAATCGACTGTTGTGTTAGTCGAATACTGACGATCTTGACTGTAGATGCTTCTCGAGTTCGATAATCGATTCTCGAGTCTTGCAAATTAAAATTGAATATTTTATTTTCTGTATGTTCAGCACCAGTATTCAGCCCTATATACAGGGTGTAAAAGAAACGCTCGCTTCCGAAAAATAATAAATAAATAAATAAAATAAAATAACGTTTATTTCGGACAAGTGAAGCATCCATAGGGGTTAGTAAGGAAACATTTAAAATCTTAAAAACTATGTTAGTACCTATAGAGATATTGTTACAAGCCTACTGTTGGGAATACATCTTCGCACGATACCATGTATTATAGGTGAATCGTACCTCCCTGCAATGGTTTTCAAGATGGAGTTGGAACTGGCCCGCACCCTGCAGAGCAGCGATGCAGACTTCTGTCTGATAATGGCATGGAAGTCATCAACGTGTGCTTGAGCGAACATGCCAGATGCACTGCAGAAACGGGGCAGTCCCATCAACATTCTGAACCCATTATTATATTGGACTCGCAGGGCGCTGATAGTCCGCAAAGTATAGCCGGCCCACAAGCTGCACGTGTAGAACACTTGACAATATGCTTTAAAAAGTGTTACTTTAACCTCCTTGCTACAACGCGCAAACCTGCGCGCCAGCATATTACATCGAACTGCCAGCGCCCTACGTTCCCGCTCAATGTCTACATGGTCCCTAAGGTCGTCGGTCACGTAATGACCCAGGTATTTGAACTGGTAAACACGATTTAGTTCATTACCATTAAGCCTAATTGCAGGTACGAAATCTGGACATTTACCACCACTCGCCTTAAAGACCATGAATTCGCTCTTAGCAACATTGTACAGTAGGCCATGAGTCTGTGCATAGGACTCACAACACGCAAGTAACTCTCTGAGCGACCTGACCGTTGGGCCCAGCAGCACCATGTCGTCGGCATAACTGATGTTATTAATACTGCAGTCATCAATGCGACAGCCGATTTTCTTACTGCTGAGCTCAACGATCAGGTCGTTAATATAGAGGTTGAACAGTTTTGGTGAGGTTATTCCTCCCTGCCTTACACCGCACTCTAAGCCATACGGCACCGACAACTTGTCGGCCCATCTCACATTATTAAAAAGTAGACCATTTTTAATTATTAATATTTTTTATTTTCTTATTATTCATGCAACATCATCGTTGAGCAGTTGATTGCAACTATTATTACATAGAATGAACATTTAGAACCTTACCTTTTTTTAAATTGAAACTAGTCTTTTTGCTGTCACCTGTCATTGTTTTTGGAAGTGAGCCGTTTACAGACTATATTGTGGTGGCCCATTAATGGTAATTGCCAAACCTCTTTCTTATAGGACTGTTATGAAAAAGAAGTCAAAATCTATGTTTTTCTTTCTGTCTTTCTATTGAATATTATTTGTTGTACACAATAACTTTTATCAGTTTGCATACATATTTATTTTAATTAATAAAGTAGTTTATAACAAAAGTGTGATTGATAGTTTCTAAGTAGCAAAAAGCCAACGTCACGCGGTATTCCCAGGCGGTCACCCATCCAAGTACTAACCGCGCCCGATGTTGCTTAACTTCGGTGATCGGACGAGAACCGGTGTTTTCAACATGGTATGGACGTTGGCGATAATTGTACCAAAATTATTCTTCAGCATCGGCATACGTTGGCAGCATTCCAAACTATCCTTGTTTATGGGTTATTTTAAACCGTTCACCGCATTTTGTAGATTTTCAGGAAAATTCTTGATTGTCCACTGCTACATTATGGGTTTTCTCTAAATAAGAAGGTTTGCCGTATCTCCACGATTGACAAACGGGTCGAAGATTAAAATTTGAAAGCTTCAAGGACCTAAGTTGCTGAATTCTAACAACATTAAAATATTAAACCTTATTTGTCACAATTCACAAATCAATTCACATTCAATCTGTTTGTAGTTATATCAATACTCTATGAAATCGGGAACTGATTCATTGGAGCATTAATTTGTTCGGTCATATTCAACCTGATCGCTGCTGGCTATTATAAGTGAGAAGCGAAGTATTAATAATTTGTTGTATTACAAAGCCGACGAGCCAGAACTTATGGGTGCCTTTTCAGATATACATTCATAGTTTCTTAGAATATTATCGATGTTTCTCGAATGTTCTACGGTATCCTCTACAGTTTGGTTTTGTTCGTGTTTATATTTTACTAATTAGGTTAAGTTTATGGAAATTGAGATCAATTTCTCAATAATAATTATAATTTGACATGTGTCTCATATTTTATAAACATTCGTCAGTAATGGATAATGGAATTGGAGATATAATCATTTTATTTTGCCAGTGTTGTTGCGAGTACCGAGTGCGTGTTATGGCAAGGATGTAATATTAAATTACATAATAATGCTTTACTACAAATATGATATAAAATATAATCGAGAATAAACAATAATATTTGCAACCAAATTACTATGATGAATATGTACAATTTACACTACGCGCAATACACAATCCACAATTGTCACGTAAACCTTGCAATCCTTTGTTGCATTGATTGTCAATTTACTTGAAACCAAATCCAAATTGAGTACGGTTGTATTTACATTGGAACCACTTGCATCTCTATGTGTTTACCGTGTGACTAACTGAATGCCAGCCTTGCAGTAGGACCGTCTGACCAAAGTCAAGGAACTAATGCTATATGCATAGAAGATGTACTACCCAATACAATTAGGTCGGCGTAAGGTGATGCCGTAACACCATGCTCGAATACCTAGCTAGAAACATAGTGATTGTCAGTTGGTTTGAGTTCTATGTATGTACAAGGTGGTTTGATTTCTATGGGTACATGTTCCTTGAGATCATGAAATGATAGTCACTTCAGTGTAACTTTGTTTACAAAGTGTTTCATAAATTGTTTAATTTTGGAAGTTATTAGCTGTACATATACATATAATTATGTATGTATCTGCAAAATATAATATTGATATACTACTTGGCTTAACTACAATGTCTATTATTAAACATAACACGCCTTTTATCCCCGAAGGGGTAGGCAGAGGTGCACATTACGGCACTAAATGCCAATGTACAATGTAACACCCGCTTTTCACTATTTATGTTATGAGTCTCATGTAAGTAATAGGGAGTGAGCCTATTGCTATATACCGGGCACATTTCCAGACTCCGTGCTACTACTGAGATTATTGAAAACCCAGTAATACTTTGAATTATTGAGTCTATTATTACTTACCATAAAAGCATTTTTAAAAGATTTTTTTTTATTTATCACTCTTCTATCTTGAAAGACGATTAACGGATAAGAACGTAATTTTTGAAAACCTATGTAGTTTGTAAAGTTGAAAATTACCTAGTAAAAGTTTTTTTTTATGATATAGGAGATAAACGAGCAGACGGATCACTTGATGGTAAGCGATCAGCGCCGCCCATGGACACACGTAACACCAGAGGAGCCACAGGTACGTTGCCGGCCTCTTAAAAATACGCTCTCGAATAAGTGTTGTGCAAATTCTTCGATGCTTTCTATCGGTTATAATTTTATCAATATACATACCTATTACAGGCGTACTACAACTATCCAGTAATAGTAATTTACCTATTGTCTTCCAACTCAAAGGACCAACAAAAAACCATATGACCAAAATAAATCAAAATAGGGACAAAACTAAAAATTGTTCCGGTTCTCAAAAAATATTTCGTCATATTACAATTTGCAAACAAATTGTAAGTATTTGATAAAGCGATGCTAACGAGCGAGGCCGGGCGAAATGGCGACATTATAATAATTTTGGAAATTCACTCCTGTTTGTTGTTAGGTACTTGATTTTTATGGCGTGATGATATGTAATTTGTGCGAGTTCCCCGGACATGACGGATTGCTGTCACTTTATTTCACGAACTTGTGTGAAAAATAAGGTACTTTCCTGGTTTATGTTTTGTTTTTTGATAAAAGACAAATTGTTATCCTTTTACCGTATAATTTCACTCAAAAATAACACATAAATTTAAGCAATAATATGCTCTATTGACACACAATAAAAAAATAAAAAAAATAAAACTAAATAAAATTGAAGTGTCAAAATACCTATATTTATTCGAAACTTTAGCAAAAAGCCAACGTCACGCGGTATTCCCAGGCGGTCACCCATCCAAGTACTAACCGCGCCCGATGTTGCTTAACTTCGGTGATCGGACGAGAACCGGTGTTTTCAACATGGTATGGACGTTGGCGATAGAGGTGCTAAAATTACTCTTCAAAATCAAGTGGGTTGGCAGATTTCCAACTGAGATTTATTAATAATACATAGTTACATTCGCGAATTCGTTAATTGCTACATGAAACGATACTATGTGAACAATTACTTCCTTTAACATAATGTGATCACAATTTATTTGGGAAATTAAATAAAATAAAACTGTGTATTAACCACATTAAAAATATGTAATGATAGCATAAGTTTAAAAACAATGAATACACAATTTAAAAAGCTAAAAAATCTTTTTGGTCCTTCTAACCAAGCTTGGTACCAAAGGACCACAATTCACTTCCCACCAAAGTAAACGTTGAAGAAAAACGTTGATATATGACTAACATTTGCGTTGTACCAGATACAAAACCTTATCTGATATAATAAATCTTCTCGCATAACTCATTCGCAGGTGCACTGGACTCGACTATAAAGGTTATGCCTCTGGGATGGGCAGAATAATATTTTACGTGACTACACCGTCGCTCGGGCGGTAGCGACTTCATTTACTTAGTCGAGTTAGGATTGTGTTCTGGGAAGTGCGTGTCACTAAGTTATTGTTTGTTTTAGTAATTATTTTGTTATATAGGTAGGAGAGGTTTGATTTGCCTTGTTGACTTCAGGTAGGAACGTAATAATTTGTCATAGTTAAACTAGCTACTTCCGCGATTCACCCGCTTCTGTTGATCGTAGCGTGATATTTTATATCCTATAGCCTTCGGGTATTCGTAAGTATTAGGTACGCAATCCAGAAAAAAAATAAGCTAATAATTTAAAAAGGAAAAATGTCTAAAATCTCAGTCATTTAGGCTGATATTAAAACAGTGTCTGATCCAAAAATTATAAATCGAACTCAGTTTTTGACAGAAAGTCTATGCAGCAAATATAAAAAATCAATCTTAGATATTTCACAGGTTTTGGGTTGAACCTGGTTATTTTCAACTGTTAATGAGCTACTATTATATAATCAAGGTATTCGATAATTATTTTTAATATTCAAGCACTGATTACACCCTAAATCTCTAAATAATATTAAATAGGTATGTTAATAAGTTAATTTTAAACTAAACTCAATAATAGTAGGTACATCTATTCACTAAATAATAACAATGTACTAAACTGTTACACAATCGTAATTGTAACAGTTGCCATACTATTTTATTGTTACGATACAGTTATTTACCCTGTAACGTTATTAGTTTTAACGTTATGAATATCATGCAACAGTTAAATTAATCTATTATTAGAATATTGCTCACCCCTCCCCCCACCCCCTATTACATGGGGCTCATAACATAAACAGTGAAAAGTGGGTGTTAAATTGTATTAAATCCAGTCTATTCCCTTATTAGCCTTTTATCCCCTTGTAGGAAGAGGTGCACATTTATACGACACTGAATGCCACTGTACAATGTAAATTAATGTAAAATATCTAAGCAATAAAGTTGAAAATCTACTAACGATATTTGACTGAAAGAAGTAGGTTGACTTGCTGTCCATAGTACCTAACAGAATACTATGAAATATTTTTTTATCTACTGGGCTAGTCAATGATGAATAAGTAAAAAGAATCAGATGCCTGCTAAAATTAAACATATTAAAGTACTGGGTTTACTCCTTTGGTGTTGCGGATGTCCATGGGCGGCGCTGATCGCTTACCATCAGGTGATACGTAGGTACGCTCGTTTGTCTCTTATTCCATAAAAAAAAACTTATTATACTGATACTTTAAAATCAAATAACAAAAACAATGCTTTCTCATTCTCCAATAAGTAGGAACATGAACATCTACAACGTGCGAAGATCCTCCAATCTGTCCCAAGTACGTAAACGCCACATAATTTT